AATCTCCATTCTTGCGCGTCCATTCAACCCTGAGAGATTCAACATATCACTAAACATCACTTAACCAAAACCAAAACAAAGATACAAACAATCCCCTTTCAAGGATTTGAAATCTAAACCTTCAGAGAGGGATCAACTTGTTCAAAAATCATCTGGGCAATAGCAGTTCCAGCAAAAGTCCCATCTTCCTTAGCCAAGAAATAAGCTTCGACCTCCATATCATATGGTATTATGAACAAAATTCCATATCTTTGATGTGATAAAGAGCTTCTCACGCTTCACTACGCCATCTTCAAACAACTTCTTCAGAACTTTCCCAATCTGCAACTAATAAATCCACGTATCTATAAACACAGTTCAAATCTGTGTCTCAAAATAAACCTCTCGCTTCTCTCTAGGTTAAGAAAAAGAAAAAAAAAAGCACCTCTCTTTTCCGCTACTTATCATCTCCATCTCCTTGTTCATCTCTGTACCCTCTTCACCAGAAAGGGTGGAGTTCAGTTGAGGTTGTCTCCGTTATCAGATCCGGTGGTTCTGGATCGTGCTTGGCGGTGACAGTGGGGTTAGAGGACGACCCTTCTCTCTGTTAGTTTTGTCTCTATATCCTTCAACTCGCCTTCTTGTGGTCCAAATTCGACATCTCTGAAAAACACCACTTCATCAGCTTTAGGGGAAGAGACAACGGCCTTGCTGTTTGGTTTCTTTGACATAGAATCCTCGGAGACAGCTTTTGACAGAGTAGTCGGAGTGGAGAACCTCCTTGCCTCCTTGCCATTTGGTTTCTTCAATTCATCTCCGACACACGAAAGAACAATCTATTAGAGAAATGGAAACGACAAATCGGTCGGTGACGTGGCAAAATAGAATGTTTTTATTGGCCGATTATTTTTATCTACGTGGACACTCTCCCCTTTGCTGGTATTGCCCTTTTAGTAGTGATATAGATTACATTGTTCATTACTGATATCATATAATTCCGTTAGACCCAACCAGAATTCAACTCCTTAAAACTATTTTCCTCAAAAAGAATAATATTGTTATTGGAATGATTATTTATTTTCAACTTTATAAAGAAGGAGTATAAATGCATATATACTACTAATGCATCACGCTTTCTCTGACAATTGGTTACAAAAAAAAATTAAACTCTAACTATTTTATAGAACATTATACAACTTATGCCTACAAGCTTATATATATTTTTTGATATTGAATTTCAATAGTTCGGAAATTGTATTCCCCAAAACCATCACATAAAATAAAATTAAAATCCAAATAATTGAAATAAACTAGTTACCCTAAATATAAAACTATATAAAAAAACAAAAACTATAAAATAAGATAAAAAATTGAAGTTTATGGAAAATAACTTGGGCGTAGCCCGAAAAAATCTCTAGTATATCTAAAATTTCTAGACTTCACCTGAGATTTGCATTTATATCCAAAAGTTCGAACTCATAACTAAAACTATCTAGTATATACAAAAATTGGATATATAGACCCTAACAGATTTTGAGTAGAATCCGAATACGAACCAAAACAATCCAACAGAAACATACCCAATAACAAGTCTTTTAGTATTTTTGACCAAAAAAAAAACAAATATTTTAGTATAGACTCGGATCCGAGCCAAAACTTGTATGGTTCGGGTTCGAGTTTTCGGGTTTAAATAAAATCTATTCTCCTCAGTTTTCCTTGTATAAACACATTATTATTTCTTTGATATATATATATATATATATATATATAAGTTGGGATGGAGTATCATTTAACAGAGATAAATTATGTTATCGCAAGTTGTACTTTGTTGGTTGTTCTATTCTGGTCCAGATTCCCAAACTATTTCAAATTTTGAATAATATAATAACCTTTTGATAAAAAAAAAAGAAAAAGCAAAAGAAAGATAAATTATGTAGCAAAATGACCATATGAACTGATCCAACATTATTGGGCCATTAAAAGGGAGTTTACAAACCATTCAAATGTAGCCACTACCAAAAGTTTGGTTACGTTAGATCATGATGAAGAATCTTATATATAATAATACACGTTTTAGGCTCTTCAATGCGTAACGTTAGTATTTTGTGAGCCCCATACATTTAATTTTCAATAGTATAAATTTTTTTCAGAACACCTTTTGACAATGAATGAGAACATGGCCGAGTGGTCTAAACTGGCAAACTAAATGTTCGCTTCACAACTCCCATATTTTTTAAAAACGTTCATTTGTTGGATAATTTTTTATATAGACCTAGAAAATGTCCTATTATAATACAGATTTCTCATTTTTAACAATGGGCTTCGACATTTTCTCTTTGTACTATTTCTAATTGGACCTCGCCTTATTTGGCCCGAGAACAAACTTATGGTTGACTTCTGATATATGTCTTTGTGGACTTTGCATTTGGCCTGGCACTGAGTAGAGTAACTGTATTCGTCGCGAATTTTTGTTGTCTGATGGCTTTTCCTCTTCCTTTGTCAAGCCGTCTGCGTCCTTTCAATAAGATCCAATTATTTCATTCCCCTCTCCATTATTAATTTCCCCATAACTTCAACAACTCAAGCGTTTCGAAACCAAAAAGGAAGACGATTATAAATAGTAGAGGCGTCAACACCGTGACATACATCTCATACCCTTATTCCGCCTTTCTCCTCTCTGCAAGTTATTCCAACATCGTCTACCGCCGGCAATGCTCTCGCTTCCCCAGCATTGATTCACAACGGGAAGTTTGATGATTTTTGTCTTAGATGTTTAGGTGGTACGACTCTGTTTGTTATGTAAGCTCAATATTCACGCTTCCAGTTTTGTCGAAGGTTTGTGTATTTAATCCTCCAGCTCTGTCGCTCTCAAAGCTTGATTATCAAAAAGGGGAGCAAAAAACGAGCTTTAAAATCGTGTAATTTAGGATCTCAATTTGTTTCACTTTTGTAATTGTTGGTAAAAAAATAATTGAAAATGGTATTTGTTCGTATGATTTGTAGTAAGTATTGTGGTATATTTATCCTCATTGATGTGATTTGGCAGATTGCATGCAAGACAAGGGAATCTTAGCATTTCCAACCCGTCTAAATACTTCTTCAAAGGTCTCTTAAGCACTGATGCTAATAACTCTTTCATTTTTTTGGGTCTTCATTTATTTACAATATCAACATTCATGGTCTATATTTTATGACCTAAATTTTGTTGATTTACTGATATAGAGTTGGAAGCTTCGCTCCAATGAAGAGATCGACCTAGACTATGTCACCATCAAGCTACACTTCGTCACTACCAAGTGGTTATGGGAGGAGGAATCAAAGCCCAAGCTCTAAACAAGCGTTTTGGTTTGCAATCTACACCATGATTACAGGTTTATATTTGACATATCCTTAAAGAAAATATTCGACATATTTTTAATTCTCCTTGGCCATTTTATTTAGGACGCCATTAGTTTTTAGATACCTATTAAAAATAGTTAAGCATTAGGTTATGTTATCTTTTGAATTTTTTCAAAGTTAATATATATCTCAGACTCCTCTTGATATGCTTTCTTTGATGATCGTTTGTTTTATAATAAAAGAAATATATGAGATGGGGGTTTTTTGTCATTGAAATTATTCTCAAGCTTCAACGACTGATATTAGAAACTAAACAATGAAACAAAGTGGGCAAAATAGCAATATATACCCCGAAACAAAAGCAACGAAATACAACTTTATTGACCTTTTAATTTATTTTTTTATAGTTTTGGATTTTATGACTATAACTCTAGTGTAATATACTTTGTCATTTCCTAGCATTTGGCAAGTTATCTTTCTCCACTTATACATTTTTCCACAAAAGAAATATTTCAGGAGGTCATTTGAGTCGCTTCTGTTTTTTCAAAGACATTTAAATATTTTTTTCACTAAATTTATAATGTGTGTACATTTGTTTCATTGTACATGATGAACCGAATTTTTTATTTTTTATTTTTTAAATTCAAAGATTCAGAGAACAAGATTCAACCGAAACTTAATCTAGAAAAATAGCCATATTTATTACACTACATAAAGAAAAAAAATTGATTAAAGAACCCAACATTAGTTTCTCAGTTCTACATTGCCATACATGACTATTTCGATATATGAAACTGTAGAAAGTTTATCTATCCAACAAAAAAAAAATCCAATATTTAGTTACAAAATCAACCCCATGAACCTTTTAAAAGAAAACTTATTAACTGTTTGTATATGTTATTAAGGGGTTGATTGGTAAGGGTTGTAGCTTTATGTTTTTAGCTGTAGAAATTAATATGTAGATTTATTTGCTATAGTTTTTTTTGCTGTACCTTTCTAAAGCACTAATATTTTGCTCTAGAAAGGAAGCTCTCTACAGCTATTTTTTTTAATTTTTCTAGAGATCTTTTTGCTGTAGGTTTTTTGAAGAAAGGAAAGCTTGATTGATTGATTTATATGGCTCTAAACTAAATTTTGGCTTTCTAAAGCATCTACAGCAACAACCAATCACCCCCTAAATTTGGAAAAAAACACTTTCACTACCACAGTTTCATTAGTATAATTATAACTCAAAAGGTTTGGTAAACTATGATTATGAGATCAATACTATAGTAAATGGTCGATCAAATCATTATAAATATAAGATATTCAATCAACCTCATATAAAAGTTCACTACAAATACTTATATTGTCTTAAGTAAGAATTGTAATTTCCAATAATTCTTTCAATCATCATTATAGATACATGATAACCAACAAAATGCTGTGTAACACAAGATTTAACAACAAAACTAAACAAAAAATACCAAAAACAAAAGCATCAAAAATGTCTGTAGGTGGAGACTATGCAACTAGTACTAAGTGAAGTTTTCTTTCCTATATAAGAGAGAGGATAAGGGGAAGGGCTAGATCACAGACGTTGTATACGCTCACTAAACTATACTAGGATGAATAGTTGGAGGTGAATTTAAACTTTCAACTATAAGCTCAGAGGTTCCACCAGATGCAAGATCACTATCTCCAGAAAAAACTTATAATTCTCGGATTCCCCACCTTTTGAACAACATAGTTATTGTCTTTTTTAATCTGTGCTTCATCATCAGAAATGTGATTTCCAACAATTTATTTGTAAACTATTTCTTCAAGTTGAATAAAAGGGCATGCTTCCAAGAATGTATAAACGCATCTTAATAAACATATACATATAGCACAAAGTAAGAGCACCCCCATCAAGGGTTGATGGGGGGAGTTCACACGGAAACCGAGAAAAAAAAACAATATTAAAATCAGATTTCTATGAACCCCTCTCTTAAAAGTTCACCGCGGTGAACCCCGATGACCCCGGGTTCACCACGTGTCAACATATGATTGGTCCAAAATTAATTTTTTTTTTTTTTTTTTTTAAAGTAAACAAAAATAACAAAAAAAAAAATATTTTTTTATTACCCCCAAGGGGGGGTTCATCAATGTGGGTGCTCTAAGTGTCTCCGATATTAACCTAGTGCAAACGTAACAAAGACAAAAGGACATTGCCTAAAAACAAAATAATAGAACTAAATTCATTAAAAACCGTAAAATAATAAAAAATATAAATAGAACAGAGATATTTCACAGCATCATTGGGTCTTTATGAACCCAAGTCTCTCCATGCAGTCTCTTCACTAAACCTCTTCAACCTGTATGTATTGATTCCTAAACTTATGGTTCTTAACATGTACAACTCTCTAAGAAGTATACAATCAGGAAGAGAGAATAACAACAAGAACATAATACATATATGACACTGCGATGTACATGTTAGCTCTCTCTCTCTCTGTCAATTTCTCAAAACTGTGTGTTTCTTGTGAGAACAGATCATCTGGCCCAAGGCCTCATCAACCTGTTGTTTGGTTTCCCTGATCCTCAGATTCCTTGCTACTACTTACCCTGCTTGAACTTGGGTACGATGTTGCTTGATTCTACAAGAACAAAAACAAGATCATCTAAGCATTTTTTTTTCCCATTCATTTTCAGGGGAACAACCATTTGTGAAGAAGGCAAGTACCTGAAACTGAGGTGGTTGGTTTGGGTGAAGACTGCGGAATTGCTGATATGGATCCATGTAACCCGAATACTGAGCCTGGCTCGAGTTTGGATCAAACGGCTGGTTTGATCCATATACTCTTGATGGATCAGAAGCTTGAACAGGGTAGCCGCCCATACGAGTCTGTGGAGGTAAAGGTCTTTGAGAAGGTAACATGTTGGGGAACTGCATGAACGGAGGAGGAGGAGGAGGCCTGTTCATACCCATGTCCATGCCCATTCCCATCCCCATAGCCATGTGAGGCATGTACTGTTGCATACTGGTGTACATCATCGGCATCATGCCGCATCCCATTGACATCATCTGCATAAATCTCAGTCATAAACTGGAGTTTTCATGGCAAATGTTTAAACTTTCATGAACTTCAACAAGTGACACATAAGAGTGACTTAAAAAGGTTTGAAGAAATCATCTATTGGATTACAAGATTTGCATAGTTCTGAAACTAGAGATGAAAACACAGACTTGGAAACCAACCAGACAAAACTTCCATAAACCTAAATGACCACAAAGATTAATCTAATTTATTAAGACAGGATTGTGGTTTAGAGGACAGACCTGTATCTGCAGCTGGAGAGATTTCATGTACTCAATAGCTTCATCAAGCATTGAAGCTTTATCTGACTGAGAATATTACGAGTAAAGTTTAAAAGTCAGCAACAAACAAATAGATACCTTGAAGAGAAAGTTACAGAGAAAGAGACCTTGTTGCAGCGAGGAATGAGTTCTTGAAGAGCTTTCATCCTCTCGTTGATCCTATCTCTCCGTTTCTGTTTACCAAATATTCTTCAGATTCTACGTGAAACATATAAATAATAATAACATCGAAAAAGATAATCAACAAACACAAACCCTTTCAGAGAGATTATGAACTTCAGCAGCTCGAGATCTCTTTGTCGATGTTGATCCACATCCTTGTTTACCCTCCTTGCAACCCCCAAGAAAAAAAAAGTTAAAACAAATACGGAAAGCAGCCACTAAAATGCGCTGTATACTAGTATTTACAACACTAAAATGCGCATGTATCCTATAATGCGCTGAAACGGACGCTGCTAATTGTGCGCACGATAGTTAAAGTTAACACTCCTAAAACGACTCGGGCGATTCAACTCACCTCGTTCCGGCACTCAGTCTCGTCAGTGGCTTCTCTCTCCTTCCGTTTCCTCTCATCGACGATCGTCTTCCCCGTCTCCTCCGGTCGTTCATTAACCGCCGCCTCGATTTCACTCTTCGACGCAACGGATGACGATGCGCCGTGATTCTCACTCGCCGGCTCCGCCATGGCCACCGCCTTTCCCTTCCGATTATGACCGAACGCATACGCTCCGCCTTCAGCTGCGGATCCGAAATCAACCGCCGCTCGGCAGTCAATGCCGTCGTTACGCCGTGATAGATCGGATTCGCTCCCTGCTGACGACGGTGTGGCGGTGGCGCTAGGGTTTACTTGCGTCGATTCTCTAACAATCGGCTTCGGTCCAGACTCTCCTCTACCGTTGAAGTCCCCTCTCAGCCTCGAGAAGTTCATGAAGTTCCGTACCGGTGGCCTCACAGACGACGTTACCGACGGCCTCACCGGTGGCCTCACTGAAGAAGGTACCGGCGGCCTCGCAGACGGCGTTTCCGGAGGCCTCACTGACGAAGGTACCGGTGGTCTAGCGGCGGTGACCTGATTCGTGGTCTGTCTTTCAGACGTTGGTGCCGAGGGGAAGAGAAGATCGGAGCAGAAATCATCGTCGCGGAGAGGATAGTGAAGCCATGAGGACATTTCGTCTTCCTGGATGAAGAGATTATGATCTAACGGCGGCGGAGGAGCTTCGTTGTGAAGCTTGACTGCAGCAGAAGAAGAAGAAGGATGTTTCTTGGCGTTGGGTCTTTGATTATGGAGAACCACTTGACCGTTGTGCCATAGAAGTTCCATCAGATCATCATTTTCTTCTTCACCTCTAAATTAATAATCACATAAAACCAAAATCAGATTTAAAGCGAAAAAAAAAGCATAGAGAAATAACGTTAAGGTCAGGACTTACTTACATGATGGGTTTTCTTGGAAGATTTGAAGAAGAAGAATTTGTGTTAGCGTTGACATAATCATCATCGGTCTCGAAGTCAGGAACGAAATGGTGTTGGTGGTGGTGGTTCATTATATCTTCAAAAGAAGATGAAACAGTTACAGCCTTGGGAGTGTTTTTTTTTTGTTTCTTTTTATACCCAAAATACCAGAAAGGCCCAAAAAAAGACTGGAGAATAGTACCCAGAGATAGAGATTATTATTGGTGAAGATGAAGAAACACACACAAACACCAGACTAAACCTTACCTCTGGACTGAGGTAGATAGGCTTCAAATTTGATAGATTGCAGGAACTGTTGGATTATAAAAAGTAAACTAGTTATTATAGCCTTTAATTGTTTCTGGTAGGATCTTTAGGGTCTGTGAATGCCTCTTCTCAAAGTCCGTGCTTTTACAATGTGATAAGCTTCCTCTATCTCTCTTTTAGTTAATTTTGGGCATTTTGTGTTTTGTCTTTTATGTTTTTCTCCACTCGACTCTGTTTCTTATTTGCCCCTTCGGTCACTCCACTGCCTATCGCATTTACTGTGTATCAATTTCTTATTGTAAATCTCTACTCTACTTGTAATGCATCTGTATAATTTAATGTGTGTCAAGGGAAAAACTTGTGCCGTTTTTTAGTCCAAAGGGAAAATACTTGTGCCGATTTTTAGTCCAGTGGAAGAAGGTAAAAACAAAATGTCTGAGATCATCATCATCATATGTGACATGACGGAACGAAATAATCCGTACCGAAGGTGACCATGTTTTTTTAATAACAATACTCTATTTCTTTTGCAAAAAAAAATCCTTTTGTAAAGAATATGTTATTATGTTAAATGATAAATTTAACTAACATATTTTTTGGGTTTCAAAATATAAGTTGTTTCACATGATATACAATTTTCATTTATTAAATAAGATAATCTAGCCAAGTACAGCTTACAATTTTATGGTTTGTTGAGTTATGAATTTTTATTAAATGATTTTTATATCCTATTTTGTGCTAAAATTATTTATACTAAAAACCAAAAAAGTATTAGTTACTTTTTTGAACAACAAGTATCTATATTGACGGGTGCCTGATCGGTCCTTAGAGGGTTTTCGTGGAAGCGACATCAGTCAATCCGGATCGGACGTTTTTGGGTTGGTTGCATTGGGATCCATAATTATGTTTAGAAATCCTAGATCGGGTTCTTAGCAAGAGCGTTTTTCGTTTATCTTCCCTACAGTCGGTGCCAAGATGTCCTAAAATCCACACTCAGTATTTTGTAATCGAGAGTTTAATCAAGGGAAGAGAAATGATGTGGGCAACAATGCTCTTAAACACAACGATACGATCGAAATTCAGTTGACAAAAATGGACTTTTATTGAATATGGAATTCGTTTACAAGATGATGAACAAGATCAGAAACAACAACGAAAACTAAAAGCAAAAAGCGAACTAGAAATCTATGGAGTGAGGTTGATGTGATTAGTAAATAGCTTTAGGGTTTTTTCGTGTCCTTTGCACTCCACTCTAGCTTCCTTTTATAGTCCGCTCCTCCTCTAACTGTTTCCGTGATCTCTGGGATCTCATCTCGACCTCATAGAATCTGGTTCGATCTCGAGTTGGTAATAATTTTAGATGGGCTTGGGCTTACTCAGATAGGTACTGAAATTGGGTCCAACAGTTACTATACAAAACAGTTTCACAATTTATTAACTTCGTTAATTCAAGTATTTTCTTTATGATAATACTATAAGAGCATCTCCAACCCATAACATTATTTTAAGGGAAGTAAAACTTCAAAATGAGGATTTGAGGTTTGATTGCCTAACCATAAATTCTCAAAACAATCTTTAAATTTTTTTATCTATTTGCATTGTAATCCTTAACATTAACAAAAAGTACTAATAATGATAAGACTTTCCAAATACATATAAACATACATTTAAAATATTATATTACTATATAATGAAAGGTAATATAAATTGCATATATAATAAAATAAAACACATACAGATAAGTTTTAGAAAGTTACGTATAAAATATCAATTTTTTATATCACTTGTAAGATATGTAATTTGTTTTCATTTGTGGTAAGTTGGTTTACTATTTTTTTTATTTTGTGTTATATTTACTGTATATTGCTACTGTGTGGACTTTATTTTAATGTTTATATAATATTTATCTTATTTTATTTTATTATGGTGTATTTAAGTTATTTTAAATAAAGTTAGTAGATCTACTTATTAAAAGACATAATTAGAAGGACTAAAAAATAGAATAGTAATTTTGAGGTTTTGAATAGTAAAACCTTAAATTTGAGGTTTCACTATTCACAACCACAAAATTTAAAGATTTGAAATTAGACTGGAGCGACACAAAACTTCAAAATTTAAGTATTTGAGGTTGGGTTGGAGATTTTCTAATGTGGCAAAACCACAGTATTGATCAAAACCCTCAAATTGAGTAGAACTATAGTACAAAATAGCTTGAAGCAGCTTTTCAACGCTTGACAAAAAAACTGTATGTGCTTGCATGTCATAAATACTGAAATGTTTGCTATACACTTTTAAGCAATATTTTGATCACTTATCAAGTATAACTTTGAATTTCAATCTTTAATTTAAATGATAAGAAAAAAGCCAAAGCCTAAGAATCTGGTTATTGGAACATAAGTTTTAATTGGAATTTTTTTTGTCAGCAAAGTGGAATTAATTAGATGTAGCTTTATATATTTTATCGTAGAATGTTGTAAACTTTTTTGGTACAGCTGTATAATTTTTTGCTGTTAGTTTTATTATACAAATTTCTAAAGGTAAGATATACATGCTATAGTTATTTTGCTTTCTAAAGCTAAGAAAGAAAAAAACAGTATCGCTAAAAAATATTTCTAAATTATGATTAGAATAAGTTTATGCTTTAAAAAAAGGAAAAATGGCATAAAAATCTTCAAAGTGGCACTCATTATCACTTTAAACCTTGAAATTATTTATCTAGTATATTAGACATCCAACTTGGTTTTTGTATCACAAAAAATCTTCAACCTAGCTTACTTGTTCATTAAGTTAAAATTGTGATTCTATTAATCTACAATAGCAGGTCTCATGTTGATTTTTTATTTAATAAATAAATAAAATTAACACTAAAAAACCTAATTAAAATTAGAAAATTTTCTAAAATTGAATTTAATAAATTAAAATATCTTCTTAAAAAAATAATATATATATATATATATATATATATATTCTTTTTTAAATGTAAGTTTTAAAAAAAAATATTTTTTTTAAGTACAGAAAAATTCAAAATCTTAATTTTTTAAAAAAATATTTTCTTAAGAATTTACAAGTTTTTTATTTTTATTCTAAATGAAATTTTGTGAAATATGAAGGTAAGTTTTTATAAAATTATACAAAACTCTAAAATGTTATTTAAAAATAAATAGTCTGGATATACCACCAGTAAAATGAGCACTTTTCGTCATATCACAATTAATAATAATGTTTTGTAAGTTTTAAAGCATTTAATTTTGTTGATATCTTTAACGATGATAATTTCTTATATACATATAACAATGATTTTGACACTATTGCCATTATAACCAAATATGCTATTGTTAATTATGATATGAGAAAAGTGTTTAAGTTAATGGTGATAATGTTTAAAATTATTTACTTTTGCGAAAATATTTAATAGTTTTTATATGCTTTTTTTTAGTTTGCAAAATTTTCAATTTAAAAACTTCGAAATTTTAAGAAAATATTTTGGTTTTTATTAAATTCAATTTTAGAAATTTTTCTGTAATTTTCTAATTTTATTTAGCGTTTTTATTGTTAATTGCATTTATTAATTAAATAAAATTTTAAAAAAAATCAAGATGTGACCTACTATTGCAGGTTAACAAGTCACAATTTAACTTGATGAACAAGTAAGCCAAGTTGAAGATTTTTTGTGATACAAAAATCAAGTTGAATGTTTAATATGCTAATTAAATAAGTTCAAGGTTTAAAGTGCTAGTGAATGCCACTTTGGAGGTTTTTATGCAATTTTTTCTTTAAAAAAATCTGGCTGTATAAATATTATATAACACTTCTAAAACATTTTCCAATAATTACCATAATGTCAATGATATTCCACAGACCTGATTTTCCAGACTAGGCAGAGTGAATTTATAACCTGGAGGTCACTATGCAGCTTTCATACTAATAATGATTTTTGTTGAAATATTAAATTATAATTTTGTGAATTAGGAACTTATGTAGAGTAACTAGGCTAAAGTTTAGATGATACTATGATATCCTTAATATGAATATTTAGAATTAGGCATGAGTATTTAGTGGATACACGTTAAGATTTGAAACAAATATATTTCATATTTCGCTTCGAACTTGTATCAAACCTAGGGTTCCATTAATCTTTGTAAATATGAGTTGAGTTTAATATAACACATCCATTTTGATTCTAATTTGTATTACATGTTAAAATTCGTAAAACTATCGTAGATCGTTTGGGTTTAGGTTATATCAAATCAGTTTGAATATACTTGAAATAAAATCTCTAATTTTAAATCAAAACATAAAAATTAAATACTATTTATCTGTATTTTGGTACTTAAATTACTTGTCTTAGACATCCTATCAAAATAAATAGGAAAATGAATATTTAAATATATATTTATGTTCCAAATATTTATATTTCATATGAAATTGAACATTAGGATTGATTTATTTAGATATTTTTGAGTTTTTATTTTTTGGGATTTTAAATTTTCTGGATTATCTTTTCAGATTTGATATATAAATTTTGGGCAGATATGTTTTGTAACTCTTTGTAAGATCCATTCGGTATATTTTACGTTTTGGACTAGGAAAAATCGTGTTTTCGGTTCAGATTTTGTCACCATGTCTACTTAAAATGATAGTCTTATATTTTTAAATAAACTACTTGCTAATCTTTAGACTAGTAGCTTTGGAATATAAAAAGTTGAAAAAATCTGATTATAAATTGATTTCTTTTTGTCACCAGACTACTATATTAGCCGATATCGTTAGTTATAAACACTGGATTAGCGTGTTGGGTTTAAGGAAACAAAGACTAATCATATGTATAAGACAATGTTCTCAGGTAATCACGCACTAATAGTATTTTAATAGGACGTACGTCCGTAAGCTCAATTAATTGTT